AAGCGCCAGCTTTGACAGCTCCCCATTGCTGTATTCCCGTAACGCTCCGCATCGCCCTATCTGTATTATTGGTAGACCGGTCGCCCCGAACTCTGGGTCAATCGGCGCCCGCCTCAGCCAATCAGCGTTTATCGAACAGCGCCCCTTGCGGCGGCCACGCAGGTACTGCAGGCTACTGGCGCTCTTTTCCCTTGGTTTTGACAGCTCTCAATACAAAGTTTCCGAGTTCAATTGACCGTGACTGATTTAATCAAAATGTTGCAAGCTGCTTCCTGAAGGCGAAAGTGCTTTGAACTTCAAGACTGTATTCTTATAAATTCACCAAAAATCAGCCGTACCTCGGATTCTCACCGGACCACTTTTTATTCTGCTGTATATTACAAAGACTATTAAAGGGGGGTGGGCCTGATACCAGGAGGCCATAATCCCTTTAACCGAGCAGTCACGTACTCTGCAGTCCTTCCAAGTTGACGTTTGTTCGGGGCTTCCATTTTGCTTCACCTTGTGGGCGGTGGGAGTCCTGTCGCGACAGTCTTTTCTTAATAAAGACCGAGCCTACTGGCTGCTGTTTTGCTCTGAATTGCTCTGGCTGGTGTCTTTGTTTCGTCCAAGGGAGCCCTCGGATTTTCCGGTAACAGTAGCAAGATAGCGGTACTGGCAGGGTCCCCGGTGCTGATTCCCTCTACCTGATTAGGTGACCCAAGGAGAGATGGCTGAGTACGAATCGTCAGCACGGTTTCATCACCTGCGAGAGACAAAGAGGTCAGGAATGTTGGAAGGTCAACAGCAGGGATCATGCAGTTTATCAGCTAAGGGTTAAATCTGGTGGTGTTTAAAGAGAGCTGGCCAAGAGGGGTGGGCGGAGCTGCTGCTTAGCAACCAAGCAGAGGGGCATGACCTTCACTGAGGAAACGTGCTCGGATTGGCTGGGTGGTTCTGAGGGAGCTTTCCTCTGCTATGTTTGGATGAACGTCTCCCTGCTTTTGCTCGCTTTTTTCAGGAAAGTGATATCGGCTCTTTTCACAGTAGTACATGCTTGTCACGTAGACAAGAAGTTTGGAATTAGTTTAGCCCAGGGGTCAGCAACCTTTTTCAGCCATGGGCCGGTCCACCGTCCCTCAGATCATGTGCTGGGCCGGACTATATTTTTTTGGGGGGGGGGTAATGAATGAATTCTTATTCCTCACAAATAGCCCAGAGATGCATTCTAAATAAAATCACACATTCTGCTCATGTAAAAACACCAGACAGGTCCCACAAATAACCCAGAGAGGCATTTAAAAATAAAAGCATTCTTCTTTTTTAAAATTAATATTCTTGATTGTTTAAAAAATTTACATGTCTGTACAAACATTATGTACTATCTCTTAACAGGTAAAAAAAGAAAGAAAATTATATAAAATAGACATTTATAAAAGAAAGAAAAATAAAGAAGTAGCAAAGATAAGAAACAAAGAAATATTAATAATAAAAAAGACAAAGTCCTGGAGCGTCTGCGGGCCGGACTGAGAAGGTTGCCTGCCCCTGGTTTAGCAGATGGATGGCCTTATTTCATATGTCCCCTTTATCCTGCAACCTGAGGGACTGGCACTCAGACAAGTGCCACATCATGTTCATCCCTGAACTTGCAAGGAGCCATTCTTCTGGTCGAAGGGCCCATCTATGCTTACTCCGTAAGGCGGTTTCTCTGTCACCTTCCTGATTGATAGGCCACCACAAGGAACGTTTCCTTGGCCTCAGAGAAATCGCCTCCTGCCTCTGCAGTTCGTTCCTTTACCTGAAACAGCAATGAGGACTAGGATCAAAAATAAAATTATAAGAGGGAAAACACTTTTTTGGGGAGAGTTGAGACACACTAGAAGACTTTGGGCAATTAGTGAAACGTTTTAGGGTATCTCCCCCTCACTTTACCAGCTCCTGGGAAATATCTCACGTGAGGATGTATTTTAATTGATTGTCTGATTTTATGTTAATGTGTTATACATTTGATGTTAGCCGCTCTGAGCCCGGCTTCGCTGGGGAGGGCGGGATATAAATAAAACATTTATTATTATTATTATTATTATTATTATTATTATTATTATTTCAGTGAAACTGTCTCTCACCTGCTGCTCCTGAAGCTTTTTAATGTTTAATAGGTTATTGTATTTTAATATTCTGTTGGAAGCCGCCCAGAGTGGCTGGGGTATAAATTATTATTATTATTATTATTATTATTATTATTATTATTATTACTCGGAGGAAGCTCCTTTCAGCCAGGCTCCTCTTTGTTTTTCTAGCTCTGTCTGCTTCCTCACCCGCCCTTTCCAAATGGGTGAAAGCAGCAAGGAGAGGGAGCCAAGCTGCCATTAGGGAAACTGGGATAAGGAGAGAGGGAGTACTGACAAGGGAGAGCAGTGAGGTCCGCTGATGCCATCTAACCTTCCCCCCAACCACAAATTATACTATTATTATTATTATTATTATTATTATTATTAATTTATATACCGCTTGATTTTTATAAAAAATATCTCAAAGCGGTTTACTGCATATTTAACATCAATAAAACAATCTAGAATCAAACATTTCTGAAGAATGTCAAATATAAAGTATACAGTCAAAGCAACATATTTAACAGGAAACTAAAATATTATCTTAAAATATTTCAAAAGAAAACATTACAAAGGAGGTCGACTACAGAATACATATTTAACACAAAGTTAACAAAACAAAAAGAACTTGAACATTTCAAAAGAAAACATTGCTAAGTGAAGCCAACTATAAAATGCACATTGAAAACAGCATAGTTTACAAGCCGGTTGACTGACTGAACCCAAAGAGTACTCCTTAATGGTTCCTCAAATCCTCTATTACAGCAGTCCATTGCTGCCTCTTGTGGCAGTGAGTTCCATAGCTTAATTCCTCACTGTGCGAAGGGTTTCTTTTATATATCCTGACTCTTCCATCATTCAGCTTCCTTTGACGCCCCCAAATTCTAGCGCTAGGAGAAATAAAAAGCTTTTCTCTACCTACTTTTATAATTTTATAATCGTGTCACTTCTTACTTGCTTTTTCTCTAAACTAAAAAGTTCCCAATTCCGCGACCTTTCTGCACAGCCAAGTTCCTCCATCCCCTCGATAATTTGGGCTGCCCTTTTCTGAAGGTGGGGTTGGGACCACTGGGTGCAAAGTGCAACTTCTGGAAAATCTCATTTATCCCTTCTTTGGGGGGAGGGAAGTTTCCAGCCCCGAAGAGCAGAGCAGACACTTCAACATGGATGTACAACATCTGTGAAGTCTCTGAAAACAGAGAGGAAGGTGACCAGGGGTCAGAGAGCGGGGCTTGTCCCTCCCCAGGACTTGGAAAACATGGTACATCGGCGGCAGCAGAGCTCCACGACTCTCGTGACCTGCACAGCCAAAATAACTGGTACATAAAGTGCTTTTAAAATGAAGAAGCACACCTTTTTATGGTCCACAATTCTTTTGTTTTGCTGTGGAGAACAAGCAGGCCTGGACGTCTCTTGCAAAGGCCTCACTAAGCAGGGCCTACTACTCATCATGGAACATCTTCTCCCCAGGGACTGATTTCTTGTTTCGTTTTGTTTTTTCAAAGGAAGAACAGAAAAAGATAACAAATGCAGAATTGTTCTTTTATTGTTTATAAGGTGTGAAATGTACTCGGAGTCGAGAGTGGAGTTCATGCTCTTTATTCAGCTCATAGTGGTGAGGAGGAATGAATGTTCCCCCACAATATCTACTTTATATACATTATTTACACAATGGGCTGCACGTGATTGGCTAATGGATACTGTTAAACAATACTGAAGTATCAGATCTGGAAGGACGTGGTAATAAATTTGGTTAGCATGCTTAATTTTGGTATGAGAAAACAAAGGTGCACGAGGGATTCCTGAACCACATTATAAGGAAATCAATTCACCAAGTATGGGACAAATATAAGAATTTATTAGAGAACAAGACACCTTTGTGGCTTTCCCCATTAGAAACCGTATCTGTAAAAAGAGGTAAACACGAAACTGGGCAACATACAAAGATCTGTTAACAGAAGTAGAAAACAAATTAAAGGTGAAAAAATATGAGGATATAAAAGCTCTGTTAACAGGTTGGTTACAATATTGCCAAATAAATGACATATTCAGAGGTGACAAAGAGAAGGACTTTGGGAAGGAATTCTCAAAGTTCAAAAATGAATTATTAGAAAATAATGAGAAATTGTTATCAAGAATGTACAAACCACTGTTGGAATGGGAGACGAAAGATGAAGAGGTTAAAGCTGTAATGATACACTTGGGCAAAAGACATAGGTTATAATATACCACTTGAATCATAGGAAAAGCTGTGGAAAGAGATTTTAAAATTCACGGCATGTAGTTCATTAAAAGAAAATTATATGAAGATGATATACTGATGGTATTTGACTCCAGTAAAGCTTGCTGAAATGTATAAAGAGATCTCTAATTTATGCTGGAAATGTAAGGATAAGGAAGGAACTATTTTTTCATATGTGGTGGATGTGTAAAAAGGTAAAGGGCTTCTGGGAAATGATACACAATGAACTTTTAAAAATTCTTAAAATTACGTTTGTTAAAAAAAGAGAGGCTTTTTACTAGGAGTAATAGGAGGAGAATTGCCAAGGAAGCAAGAGACTGTTTATTTATGCGACTACAGCAGCCAGAATGCTACTAGCCCAGATGTGGAAAGAAGGGAAGGTCCCAACGAAAGAAGAATGGATAACTAGATGACTGGCTAAGGAATATAATTATATGCAAGGAGAATAAATGGGGGGGGGGGGAATGGAAACCAGGGGGGCTAGGGGGGGAGCCATTTATTGCAAATTTGGATTGGATATCTATGTACCAAAAGGAAAAATGTTATTTTGAAAAATGAAAATAAAAAATATATATATTTAAAAATAGTTTAGAAAACGTTTTGGGGCGCCCGCGCAGCTGATCCAGCGGGGCTTTCCGGAGGCGAGACCAGTGCCTCTCCTGCTTTCTGCCCGGAGAATCCCAGAGGCTCCTGCCGCTCGGCTCCGAAACGGTTAAGAGCAGCGGCGACAGAGCTGAGATTCCTAGAGCGGAAGAAAAAAAAGGCTGTCGGGAGAATAGCAGCTTCCGCTTCCTGTCCCGCTTTTGGCGGGGTGGCAGATGCCGGTCATGGCGGCGGCTGTCCTTCCTCGCGGAGGCGCTGCAGGTGGGTCATATTGTTATATATTATAACGGGGGGGGGGAGTGGGGGTGCTGCTGGAGGGAGTTGTGGGGAGGGATTTTTTTTTTAAAAAAAACCCTGTTAGGCAAACCGTTTCAATGTAAGTTTTTTTTCTTTGTCTCTTTTTTCTAGTCGTCAGTTTATCCAGATTTTCACATTTTTAAAGATCTCTTGAAAATTGTTCAGCATTTTGGTGCAGATCTCGCCTAATGCTCACGCTTTTGCAAAGGGTATTTCCCCAAATATTTACATTTCCCATAATTAATGCATTTTCAATTTAATTCCGCTAAAATAATGCATTTATATGGCTTTCCCCCTTTGTATGGGGGTAGGACATCTTTTCCCAATGGAAGGGAGGATCTTTCTCCTCCTCTCCTCCCTGCAGGCCAACTTGGGCAGGTGGGGGACCTTCCTTGGGCTCCCCATAGGGCTTGGGGTCAAGGCAAAGCCTTAAGCATTGGGAAACCTACTTCAGGGGCTGCCCCTGGAACCTGTAATAATTTTTATCCGGCCTGATTTTATTATAATTTATTAAAATTGTATACCTCCCTGTACCCACAGGCCTTAGGGCAGTTCACAGGATAAAATCGCAATATAAAAACTCAAAGTACACAATCAAAACATAAACAAAATCAACCCAATAACCCCCCGCAAACCACACACATTTTAAAACATTTGTGTTTCAATTAAATACAGCAGTTCTGGGCAGAAGACGTTAAAAAAGAGGAGAAACAAGCAACTTCAAGTCCACATTAAAATTCCAAGTGTGGCTGAGGCCTTAGTTAGACAGGCTAATAGTACTACTACTACTACTAACACCCCTGAGCACCCTCTCCCACCAGTGTCTTGCCTCGGTAATGGACTGGATGAGAGCCAACAAATTGAAGCTCAATCCAGATAAGAGTGAGGTTCAGTTAGTGGGTGGTTCCCTAGAGCAGATGGCTGGAAGGTCGCCTGCTCTTGATGGGGTTACACTTCCTCTGGAGGAGCAGGTTCGTAGCTTGGGGGTTCTCCTGGATCCTTTGCTGTTGCTCGAGGCGCAGATGGCCTGGAGTGCCTTCCATCACCTTTGGCTGGTAGCCCAGCTACACCCCTATCTGGACAGGAATAGCTTATCTACCGTTATCCATGCTCTGGGAACTTCAAGGTTAGATATAGATATGTGTTATACGTAGGGCTGCCTCTGAAGATAGTTTGGAAACTTCAGCTAGTGCAGAATTCAGCGGCCAGGTTGCTCACTGGAGTAAGGCGGGTGAGCATATTACCCCCATCCTAGTCCGACTGCACTGGCTAGCAATTAGTTTCCGGGCTCAATTCAAGGTGCTGGTTTTGACCTATAAAGCCTTACATGGCTCAGGATCACAATACTTCAAGGGCTGCTTCTTTCCATATGAACCTAGCCAGATCCTGAGGTCCTCCCTCGTGGGCCTCCTCCTCAAGTGGTCTGGAGGGTGGCAACACGAGAACAGGGCCTTCTCTGCAGTGGCTCCCTGTCTGTGGAATGCTCTCCCCAGGGAAGTTCACCTGGCGCCTTCCTTATACTCCCCATGAATCAGAGCATGCCTTGGAAACTCACTTTCCTCTCAAAGCTTCTCATTTTTTATGTCCATGGAGCTTTCATGGCATAATACTGGAGTGGGTTGTCAGTTTCTTCACCAGGTGGATCACATTTAGTCTAAACTCTCGGCTGACCTGTCTGTCTTGGGTGACCCTGCATGGCATAGGTCATAGCTTCTCTGACTTATTCAAGCTCCTTCACCACGACAAGGCAGTGATCCATGAAGGGATATACACCTTTAAGTGCCATGCAAACATGTTCCTTTTTAACCAGGCTTTTGCTTGATATGTTTGACATCCTATAGTCTTTTTCAAAGGTGGCTCTTTTTTGGGGGGGGGGGTATTGGGTTGTTATGTTTATTCTGATTACATATGATGTGATCTTTTCTGCGAACCACGCTGAGTCCTCCGGGTTTAAGGCGGTATATAAACTCAATAAACAATAATACCATATTAATACTTTCATTATTGGTACCCCACGGATCTGACTGGCTTCCCCAGCCACTCTAGCTGGCTTCTAACAAATATAAAAGCATAATAAAACATTTAAAACTTCCCTCTACATGGCTGCCTCCAGTTGTCTTCTAAAAGTTATATAGTTGTTTGTTTCCTTGACATCTGACGGGATAGCTTTCCACAGGGTGGGCACCACTACCAAGAAGGCCCTCCGTCTCGTTCCCTGTAACTTCCCTTCTCACAGGGAGGGAACTGCCACAAGGCCCTTGGAACCTGGATCTCTGTGTCCTGACTGAATGATTGGTGTGAAGACGCTCCTTTAGCATTTCATCAGTTTGCCTTTTTATTCCATCAGGAGATGTTGAAGGGATGCTGGCAGAAGGGGAACATTCAGAAGTGTCACCCAAAGAATCCAAAGAGCAAAGGAAGCTGAGGGTTCAAGATGGAAGCCGAAGGCGAGAAGGGAGACGAAAGCAGAAGCCGGAGGGTGACTCTTGTACGTCTCAGGGTGGTGAAAATCAAATTCCTAGAGAGGAGAAAAAGCATGAATGCACCGTGTGTGGAAAGAGATTTGGTCGTCGCTCAACTCTTACTTTACATCAAAGAACTCATACAGGGGAGAAACCGTATACATGTTTAGAGTGTGGAAAGAGCTTCAGTGAACGTGGTACCCTTACCTCGCATCAAAGAACTCATACAGGGGAGAAACCGTATACATGTTTAGAGTGTGGAAAGAGCTTCAGTGTCAGTGGTAACCTTACCTCGCATCAAAGAACTCATACAGGGGAGAAACCGTATACATGTTTAGAGTGTGGAAAGAGCTTCAGTCGATGTGGCCAGCTTAGTACGCATCAAAGATCTCATACAGGGGAGAAACCGTATACATGTTCAGAGTGTGGAAGGAGCTTCAGTGAGAATGGTGCCCTTACCTCGCATCAAAGAACTCATACAGGGGAGAAACCGTATAAATGCTTGGAGTGTGGAAAGAGCTTCAGTCACTGTAGTGCCTTTATCTTGCATCGAAGAACTCATACAGGAGAGAAACCGTATACATGTTCGGAGTGTGGAAAGAGCTTCAGTCACATTGGTGCCCTTACCTCACATCAAAGATCTCATACAGGGGAAAAACCGTATACCTGTTCAGAGTGTGGAAGGAGCTTCAGTCGGAGTAGCACCCTTAAGTCGCATCAAAGAACTCATACAGGGGAGAAACCGCATACGTGTTTGGAGTGTGGAATGAGCTTCGCTCACCGCAATGGGCTTGCTAGACATCAACAAACTCATCAAGGCAGCAAACCTTATAAATGCTGGGAATGTGGCAAGAGCTTCAGTCGCATTGACAACCTTTCCTCGCATGAAAGGATTCATACAGGGGAGAAACGATATACATGTTTCGAGTGTGGAAAGAGCTTCAGCTACAGTTCCAGCCTTACCTTGCATCAAAGAACTCATACAGGGGAGAAACCGTGTACATGTTTAGAGTGTGGAAAAAGCTTCAGTCAGAGTAGCTCCCTTAAGTCGCATCAACGAACTCATACAGGGAGGAAATCTTAGAAATGTTTGGCGTATGGAAAGAACTTCAGTGGCAGGGGCTCCCTTCCTAAACAATAAAGAACTCGTACAAGGGAAACATCTTAGAAAGGGTTGTCGTGTGGGAAGATCTTTAATCATAACAAATAACTCCTACAGAGAGTAAACCAATGATCGTGTTCTGGTCCCCCCAGGACAGCCATTATTGTATTGGAAGAACTTTCTGACAGTAAGAGCTGTTTTGACATTGGAACAGTCTCCCTCGGTGGGAGGTGGGCTCTCCTTCCTTGGAGGTTTTTAAGCAGAGGTTGGATGGGCTTCTGCTATGGATTACTTCATTGCTGGGGGTTGGAGTGGATGACCCTTTTGTTGTTTAGTCGTTTATTCGTGTCCGACTCTTCATGACCCCATGGACCAGGCACTCCCGTCTTCCACCACCTCCCGCAGTTTGGTCAGGCTCATGTTTGTAGCTTCGAGAACACTATCCAACCATCTCGTCCTCTGTCGTTCCCTTGTCCTTGTGCCCTCCATCTTTCCCAGCATCAGTGTCTTCTCCAGGGAGTCTTCTCTTCTCATGAGGTGGCCAAAGTATTGGAGCCTCAACTTCACTATCTGTCCTTCCAGTGAGCGCTCAGGGCTGATTTTCTTAAGAATGGATACATTTGATCTTCTTGCAGTCCATGGGACTCTCAAGAGTCTCCTCCAGCACCATAATTCAAAAGCATCAATTCTTCGGCGATCAGCCTAGATGACCCTTGGGGTCCCTTATAACTACAGTTCTATGATTCTATATACATCATCTGCTAGACAGCTGTTGTCACAAGCTTGGCAAATCCAGGCATATACTTGATCATCAGATAATGCCAATATTATTCACTTGGACTGTGCTGTTTGAATCCATGTACAATTCTAGGTGCCTATTCTATAGTTTTGCTTTTCATATCCTAATTTTCATCTGCTGTTACTTGTAGCGTTCCCAAAGCAAGGAAGGATTCAGAAGATCAGTAAAGGAAGGAAGGAAGGGTAGTATTCACCATCTCTTCCTGAACTCTCTTCCTGGCCCTAAGATCTATGTAAAGATTAACAAACTACATCAAAGTAACCTATGAACTTTTAAGACCTAGGGTGCCTAGTTCAGCAACTGGTCTGTGTCCTAGAATGCTTATACGTGCTTGTCAGACAGAGAGAAAAGGCAGTAGAGAAAAATGGTGTAGATGCAGAGGCTTGTGGGATTTGATCAGAAATTTTTGTCAATGAATCATAGAATCATAGAGTTGGAAGAGACCACAAGGGCCATCGAGTCCAACCCCCTGCCAAGCAGGAAACACCACCAGAGCACTCCTGACATATGGCTGTTAAGCCTCTGCTTAAAGACCTCCAAAGTAGGAGACTCCACCACACTCCTTGGCAGCAAATTCCACTGTCAAACAGCTCTTACTGTCAGGAAGTTCTTCCTAATGTTTAGGTGGAATCTTCTTTCTTGTAGTTTGGATCCATTGCTCCGTGTCTTCTTCTCTGGAGCAGCAGAAAACAACCTTTCTCCCTCCTCTATATGACAACCTTTTATATATTTGAACATGGCTATCATATCACCCCTTAACCTCCTCTTCTCCAGGCTAAACATGCCCAGCTCCCTTAGTGGGTCCTCATAAGGCATCGTTTCCAGGCCTTTGACCATTTTGGTTGCCCTACTCTGGACACGTTCCAGTTTGTCAGTGTCCTTCTTGAACTGTGGTGCCCAGAACTGGACACAGTACTCCAGGTGAGGTCTGACCAGAGCAGAATACAGTGGCACTATTACTTCCCTTGATCTAGATGCTATACTCCTATTGATGCAGCCCAGAATTGCATTGGCTTTTTTAGCTGCCGCGTCACACTGTTGGCTCATGTCAAGTTTGTGGTCAACCAAGACTCCTAGATCCTTTTCACATGTACTGCTCTCAAGCCAGGTGTCACCCATCTTGTATTTGTGCCTCTCATTTTTTTTGCCCAAGTGCAATACTTCATATTTCTCCCTCTTAAAATTCATCTTGTTTGTTTTGGCCCAGTTCTCTAATCTGTCAAGGTTGTTTTGAAGTGTGATCCTGTCCTCTGGGGTCTTATCAACATCGTTGATAAAGATGTTGAATAAGACCAGGCCCAAGACAGAACCCTGTGGCACTCCACTAGTCACTCTTCTCCAGGATGAAGAGGAACCATTGATGAGCACCCTTTGGGTTCAGTCAGTCAGCCAGTTACAAATCCACTGAGTGGTAGCATAGTCAAGACCGCATTTTACCAGCTTCTTTACAAGAATATCATGGGGCACCTTGTCAAATGCCTTGCTGAAATCAAGGTAGGCTACATCCACTGCGTTCCCTTCATCTACCAGGCTTGTAATTCTGTCAAAAAACGAGATCAGGTTAGTCTGACATGACTTATTTTTCAGAAATCCATGCTGACTATTGGTGATCACAGCATTCCTTTCTAGGTGCTCACAGACTGTTTGCTTAATGATCCGCTCCAGAATCTTCCCTGGTATTGATGTCAGACTGACTGGGCGGTAATTATTTGGGTCCTCTCTTTTCCCCTTTTTGAAAATAGGGACAACATTTGCCCTCCTCCAGTCTGCTGGGACATCGCCTGTTCTCCAGGAATTCTCAAAGATGACTGCCAGTTGTTCTGAGATCACATCTGCCAGTTCTTTTAATACTCTTGGATGCAGTTCATCTGGCCCTGGAGACTTGAATACATCTAAACTAGCCAAGTATTCTTGTACTATCTCCTTAGTTATTCTGGGCTGTGTTTCCTTTGCTGAATCATTTGCTCCAAATTCTTCAGGTCGGGCTTTGTTTTATTTATTGGAGAAGACTGAGGCAAAGAAGGCATTGAGGAGTTCAGCCCTTCCTGTGTCCCCTGTTTGCATTTCACCATCTTCTCCTCTGAGTGACCCCACTGTTTCTTTGTTCTTCCTTTTGCTACGAACATACCCATAAAAGCCTTTTTTGTTGCTTTTAATCTCTCTAGCAAGCCTGAGTTCATTCTGTGCTTTAGCTTTTCTGACTTTGTGTCTACACGTGCTGGCTATTTGTTTGAATTCCTCTTTGGTGGTTTCCCCCCTATTCCATTTTTTGTACACATCCTTTTTAAATCTTAACTCAGTTTAAAAGTTCTTTAGACAGCCACCCTGGCTTCTTTAGGCACCTTCCATGTTTCCGTCTCATTGGTATTGCCTGACGTTGTGCTTTTACTATCTCCCTCTTAACAAACTCCCAGCCATCATGAACGCCCTTTCCTTTTAGTATTACTGTCCATGGGATCTCACCCAGCACTTCCCTAAGTTTTATGAAGTCGGCTTTCTTAAAGTCAAGAAATTGAGTCCTAGTATGCTTGGCTGCTCCTTTCCACTGTATAGTAAACTTCAGAAGAGCATGATCACTCGCACCTAATGATCCTTCCACTTCTACCCCACTAACCAGGTCATCAACATTGGTTAGGACCAGATCTAAAATGGCTGTTCCTCTTGTTGCTTCTCCCACTTTCTGGACAATGAAGTTGTCTGCAAGGCCAGTGAGGAATCTGTTTGACCTTATGCTCTTGGCTGAGTTTGACATCCAACAAATATCCGGGTAATTGAAGTCCCTTTTTGCATGCTTGGCCAGTCAGCGCAATGCTTTCATCGCGGACACAATGGCTTGATGCATATTTTATCATTCATGCATATTTTATCATAATAATCCCGTCTGATCACTACAGTTATAGCTGCTATCTCTGTTTCATGTGCATCATAAAATGAAACAGAAAAAGCTTTACGAAAATAAAATCTTTATGAAATTTTTTAAAAAACCCTCATGAGTCCCACCTACACTGGAAAAAAATTGTGGGATCTGCTCACATCCCTCATGGTTAGCTTACTGCAATGCACCGTACAAAGAGATACAGTTGAAGGTTGGGCCACAGGCTGTAGCTGGTGCAGAACGCAATAGCCAGGTGGCTTGTGTGAGAAAGGTAAAAAAGGTAAAGGATCCCTGGACAGTTAAGTGCAGTCAAAGGCGACTATGGGGTTACGGCGCTCATCTTGCTTTCAGGCCGAGGCAGCTGGCGTTTGTCCACAGACAGCTTTCGGGGTCATGTGGCCAGCAGGACTAAACCGCTTCTGGCGCAATGGAACACCGTGACGGAAACCAGAACTCACGGAAACACCGTTTGCCTTCCTGCCACAGTGGTACCTATTTACCTACTTGCGCCGGTGTGCTTTCGAACTGCTAGGTTGGCAGGAGCTGGGGCAGAGCAGCAGGAGCTCACTCTGTTGCACAGATTCGAACCGCCAACCTTGCCATCAGCAAGCCCCAGAGGCTCAGTGGTTTAGACCACAGTGCCATCCATGTCAGGCTTGTGGGAGGAAACTACTGCCAGCATAGAACAGCCTGCTAGTGGGATTTGCATTTGCTACCAATCTGCTACTGGGCTGAGTTCAAGGAGTTTGTACTCACATGCAAGTCCCTGTTCTGCTCAGTCCCAGATATACAGCAGAGATTCTCCTGCAAGTTCCAAAGATCTCCAAAGCACAGACCCAGAATGGGGCTTTTAGTGTCTGTGTCTGTGTTCTGTGGAATGGCAACCCTTTCGGGGGGGGGGGAGGGAATTGGGACCTTTTCCAGCTGGATAAATAAATTTTAATAATGGGTGTCCACTTGTTACGGTTTTAGTCTTATTTTTATTTGTTGCCTTTGTGTATATAACTGCTTCTTAAAACATTTTTTGTATAAATTGCCTTGAGACGGTGGTTTAGAAGGCAATCAATTATTTTGTAAAAATATTTTTAAAATACTTTTCACGTAAAATACATTTCACTAATTTTACAATCATTTTGACATTTCAAGGTTTGACTTCCTTCCCCCTCTTTCTGCGGTTCCTTAAATTTATTTTTAATACCTTCTGCATATCCAAATTAACTTAATTTGTTCATTTATTCCTCTTCTTTAAATATATACTGGTATGAAACTGCAGGTTATTAGAATAATCCTTCCAATGTTTTTATCTGTTTACAATTTATCTGTAAATATTCAATAAACCATTTCCATTCTTTTATTTTAAAAAAATGTTATCTTGATTTCTTATTCTTCTGGTAAGTTTCGCCATAGAAGGCAATCATATTTAAGGCAATCCTCCTGTGGATTTTTGTTAAATGGGAAAACGGTAGATAAACAGAAGCAGAGCTATAGAAAGAGATATACAGAAGATATACACAAATATATAAATCTTGCTGGACCAAAAGAATAAGAATTGTGATGCTGACACGCAGTCGTTAAACCTGTTGAG